AAAATAATAAAATAAGTAATAAAGTAATAAAGTAATAAAGTAGTAAAAAAATAAATTAATAAAGTAATAAAGTGATAAAGTAATAAAGTAATAAAATAATAAAGTAATAAAGTAATAAAGTAATAAAATCATAAAGTAATAAAGTAATAAAGTAATAAAATCATAAAATGACAAAGTAATAAAGTAATAAAATAATAAAGTAATAAAGTAATAAAGTAATAAAATAATAAAATAATAAAGTAATAAAGTAATAAAATAATAAAGTAATAAAATCATAAAATCATAAAATAATAAAGTAATAAAGTAATAAAATCACAAAGTAATAAAGTAATAAAATAATAAAGTAATAAAGTAATAAAATAATAAAGTAATAAAATCATAAAATCACAAAGTAATAAAGTAATAAAATAACAAAGTAATAAAGTAATAAAATAATAAAGTAATAAAATCATAAAATCATAAAGTAATAAAGTAATAAAGTAATAAAATCATAAAATCACAAAGTAATAAAGTAATAAAGTAATAAAATAATAAAGTAATAAAATCATAAAGTAATAAAGTAATAAAGTAATAAAATCATAAAATCACAAAGTAATAAAATAATAAAGTAATAAAATCATAAAATCATAAAATCATAAAGTAATAAAGTAATAAAATCACAAAGTAATAAAGTAATAAAATAATAAAGTAATAAAGTAATAAAATAAGAAAGTAATAAAATAAGAAAGTAATAAAGTAGTAAAGTAATAAAATCATAAAATCACAAAGTAATAAAATAATAAAGTAATAAAATCATAAAATCATAAAATCATAAAGTAATAAAGTAATAAAGTAATAAAATCATAAAATCACAAAGTAATAAAGTAATAAAATAAGAAAATAAGAAAATAAGAAAGTAATAAAATAATACAATAATAAAATAACCAAATAATAAAATAATAAAATAATAAAGTAATAAAACAATAAAGTAATAGAATAATAAAATAATAAAATAATAAAGTAATACAATAAAATAACAAAATAATAAAATAATAAAATAATAAAATAATAAAGTAATAAAATAATAAAGTAATAAAGTTATAAAATAATAAAATAATAATATTATAAATTATAAAATATGTCCTTAATGTGTCGCCCGACCCCCAAACAGCTGCAGGTCTCTCTCTCTCTTCAGGTGAAGTATTTCTTATTCTCATGAGCAGAGGATAGCGTTAGATAAAGACGGTGTAGGAGGTGTGAGTAAGAACTGAATGATGAAAAGAGAGAGCTACCTTGACATAAAGTTTCTGGCTCAGGTCCTTCACAGGTAAGGAGAAGGTCTCGTTCCATATGGGGTTCAGGTCTTTATAAACCACTTTGCTCTTGTAGAAGGTTTTTCCCTCCAGTTTGAACTTCACATACGGGTCGCTGGTTCCTGAAAAAGATCAGTTTATTAAAGCGTAGCCAGCTGAAGACTTCATGCTGTGAGCAGTTTGTTTGACTTCATGACGAGCCCCCCCGCCCCCCCGTTCTAGTTTCCAGTAAACGGGCCGACCTGTGACCTCGTCATCTTTCATATTGAGGATGTGGTTTTCTCCCCAACCGATGGGACCACAACTTCCTGAAACACAAGCCAATCAGATCGCTGCTTCCCCTGTGAAAGCGGGGGTGGGGGGTGGGTGTATAAACCTCCTTTTCTTTCATCACACGCATAGTGTGAATGTGGACCTGAGCTGCTTCTAGTCCTCTGAAGATTCAAACTCCCCCCCCGAGTTTAGGGTTAGAGACTTTGTTTGTGTGAAGAATCCTTCATGAAGCAGAATGGAACCAGCCCTTTCTAAATGAAACACTTTCCCAGTGTTAAACAGATGAGGGACATCGTGGCCTACTGGTTAGTTTGTGAACCCCATGTACAGAGGCTGTACTCAAAGCGGGCGGCCCCGGTTTGAATCCGGCTCCCTGATCTACTGTCCGGTCTCTTTAAAGGCTGAACGTGTTGCTGAAATCAAATTATTTAAAACCTGAACTTTAACCAGAACCATCAATGTGTCCCTTCAGGCTCTCCGTAGATTACCCCCCTCTGAGGTCTGAAGGGGTCTGAGGGGGTCTGATGAGAACTGATGAGGTCTGAGGGGGTCTGATGAGGTCTGAAGGGGTCTGAGGGGGTCTGAAGAGAACTGATGAGGTCTGATGAGGTCGGGGGGGTCTGAGGGATTTGAGGGGGTCTGAGTAGGTCTAAAGGGGTCTGAAGGGGTCTGATGAGAACTGATGAGGTCTGATGAGGTCGGAGGGGGTCTGAGGCGTACTGAAGGGGTCTGAGTAGGTCTAAAGAGGTCTGAGGGGGTCTGATGAGGTCTGAGGGGGTCTGCACTGACAAACTTGTACCACCAAAAACACAAATAAGTTTGATATCAATTCAATATTAACCTCAGTGAAGGATAATACAAATCTATGAAATAAATAAATAACCAGCTGAAACTTATCTCACCTTCCTCTTTTTACACGGTAACCGTTGGCAACCGCCCATTGTTTTTTGGACAACACAGAGAAGCTGCCGAGCATACAGCTGATCAAACAGAATCATTACAGGCTGCTTTACAAAGAGAATAAGATCTGCTCGCCGTCCTGTATTAACTCGCCGGCTGCTTGTGTACACACACTGACACATGAGCTGGAACCCTCACATGGAACAGTGAATGCTGGGTGTGGTTCAGACAGGTCCGTATACGCTAAGAGGAATCCGGCCCCGGCTGTTCCACTGCAGGAGTGAACCTGATCGTCAGCCGTCTCTGGATTCTCAGGAATCATATAAGAGCAATAAAAGTGAGCGACCACGGCATGATCCTCTAGTACCCTCTGAACGCATGTGGGGTCTTGAGTTAGTGATATCAGGAAACTAAAAGGGATTTAAGATAAGACTTCCTGTGTGTGACTTCAACAATGAATAATGACGGGAGAAAAATAATACCTGAGGCGCAGGAAGTAAGAAAAGTAAAGCAGTGCTCCGTCACCTGTACGTCACCTACAATCCTACAATTCACTTAGCAGACTCTTTTATCCAAAGCGACGTACATCAGAGAGTAAGAACAACACAAGCAAGGATCTAGAAAAAAGGGAACAATGTGAGTAAGAGCAAACGATCAGCTTTGAGTCTGATTGGACACACAGGTGCTGACAGGAAGTGACCAGAGGCAAAGCACAACATTGAGGGCAGTTCTTGAGAGCTCTAATCAGTATAGAAACCATCTTATAAGTCGTCGTTATCAAACAAAAACCATCGTTATTACCATCATCATCATCAATACTATGGAGACCATCATCATTAAGTTAGTAGGTGTTCATAAAGAGCTGGGTCTTTAGCTTTTTCTTAAAGGTGCAGAGGGACTCTGCAGATCACATGGAGTTTGGAAGTTCATTCCACCACCGGGGGGCGACAGAGGAGAAGAGTCTAGTCAGAGACTTAGGACCCTGTTGTGAAGGTTGGATCAGACGCCTTTCATTGGCAGAGCGTACTTGTAGGTCACATGATGACACCTCGGTATGTAGCTCAGAACCAACACATGGTGGCTGGTGTCACATTAGTGACCCAGGTCCAGATCCAAGTACACTTGATCTCAAAGTCCGGTTCATGTGATCAGTGTGAACATAAATGTACCAAGTCCGCTTGAAGAGGTGCTCTTGGACCTCGAAAACACATCGTGCCAGAGACCACCTCTTCCAGCGGTCAGCGGGAGAAGTGAAGAGTGTGCTCAAACCAGGAAGTGGACCACTATATGAACGGCTCATGTCACTTCATTTCTGTAAAGCTTTAATAATATATTCTACAATCATGGATTTAAAAGAACTAATTTAAACAGGAAACACACGTCTCTTTCTCTCCTCCCCTGAGATCTGATTGGTCAGTCAGAGTTTTATACATTTTGTTGTCTTGCTAACAGCAGGTTGTATGTTCAGCATGAGTTACCATGGTGATCTACTCAGAAAACAAAGCACCGCGCAGCGTGGGACCTGTTATTAGTTCTTTATAGTGGGTCAGTTCTGGACTGTGAGACAGACCCATACACTGTAAGTATGAATGTTTGAAGCCTGAGTGATGTCCCCCGTCTGTCCCTGCAGGGGGCGCTGGAGTCCCATCGATGGCGGTCTCCATGCTGGAAATGCTGTCTCAGTCTAACTTTCAGTCAACCTAACGACAGGCTGAGAGCTGGAGCTGAGGCGGGTTTTAAACCTCCTGACAAACCGTTACACCACGTCCACCTCTTCATTATTGGAATATGTTGTTTACAGTCACACGATGGCGTTCTTACCTGAACACCTGAGCAGAGCAGCGAGCAGCACCTGAGCAGTGAGCTACGGAGTGAGCATATTGCATCATTTTCTGTTCTGTTCTCCTCTGTACTGTGTGTACCTACTCTTAGCCTAGCTTAGCAGTTAGCTTTACTTACAATGGCTTCTTTTTCTGTCTCTCCCTCTCCTGCTCTCTCCTGCTCTTCGTGTCAGATGTTAAGTTACTCCTCGTCCTCCTTTAGTGATAATGATACATGTAAGAAATGTAGTTTATTTTTAGCTTTGGAGGCGAGGGTGTCTGAGTTAGAGAGACGGCTCCGCACCATTGAGTCAGAGTCATCGTATGCAGCAGTAGTTAGCCAGCCACCTGTAGCCGGTGTGGGCAGACATAGCTTGGCTTCCCCCCCGGTAGCTCCCGAGCAGCCGGGAGGCGGTGGCTGGGTTACTGTCCGAGGGAAGCATGGTCGAAAATCGAAGCACACGGTTCCCCACCAACCACTTCACGTTTCAAACTAATTTTCCCCACTCAGCGACACACTGAGAATAAAACTCTGATTATTGGAGACTCCATCGTCCGAAACGTGAAGCTAGCGAAGTCAGCGGGCATAGTTAGTTGTATCCCCGGGGCCAGAGGGGGCGACATCGCATCTCATTTAAAGTTGCTGACAAAGATTAAAGGTAGATTTGATATAATCGTAATTCATGTCGGCACTAATGACTCCCGACTACGCCAGTCGGAAGTCACTGAGGTTAATGTGGAGTCAGTGTGTACTAAGACGATGTCGGACTCCGTAGTGTTCTCTGGACCCCTCCCAAATCAGACCAGTGATGACATATAGTATATGTATATACTATGTACATATATACGTATAGCCACATGTCATCACTCAACCGCTGGCTGTCGAGGTGGTGTCCAGCACACGATGTGGGCTTCATAGATAACTGGCAGTCTTTTTGGGGAAAACCTGGTCTGCTAGCTAGAGACGGCATCCATCCCACTTTGGACGGTGCAGCTCTATTATCTAGAAACATAGCAGAGGTTATTAGTCCAAAACCTTGACAACAACACAGAGTTCAGACCAGGAGGCAGAGCTGCAGTCTTACACTTAGATCTGTCTCCCAGTCACTATAGCTGTAATTCTGAATCGAACTGTAGTTATACTATAGGTACTGTGTCTGTCCCCCGGCCCAGACCCGTTTTTATAAGTCATCCAAACGGCGTAAATCGTCAAAATCTCATTAGAATCAAAACTACGAATACGATTTTGCTAAAAAATCAGAAGATTCACTGCAGACTTTTGAACATTAGGTCCTTAGCATCCAAATCTCTTTTAGTGAATGATCTGATATCAGATCAGCATATTGATTTACTTTTTTTGACTGAAACCTGGCTGCTGCCAGTCATTTTAGTACTCATATACCTCGAGACACCGGACAAGGTGTAGCAGCTATTTTTAATTCTGGTCTTCTAGTTAACCCTCGACCAAAGCTGAATTTTTCTTCTTTTGAAAGCCTTGTTCTTAGTCTTTCACATCCAGTCTCAAGAACCTTTCAGCCAGTTCTAGTTGTTGTAGTTTACCGCCCTCCTGGTCCATATTCTGAGTTTCTATCTGAATTTGCAGATTTTTTATCAGATTTAGTCCTTAGCAGTGATAGAATAATTGTTGTAGGTGACTTCAATATCCATGTGGATGTTGATAATGATAGCCTTAGCACAGCTTTCATGTCATTATTAGACTCTATTGGTTTCACCCAGGGTGTAAACGAACCTACTCATCGTTTTAACCACACCCTGGATCTTGTTTTAGCTTATGGCATTGAAATCCATAACCTTACAGTTTTCCTTGAAAATCCTCTTCTATCAGACCATTTCCTTATTATTTTCGACTTTGTCCTGCCAGAATTACCTCTGCTTGGAAGAGGTGTGCTCTCTAGAAGTTTATCTGATAGTGCTGTAGCTAGATTTAAGGAAGCTATTTCAGCTGCTTTTGATTCAGTACCGTGTTTCAACCCAGTTGGAAACTCTTATGATAGCTTTAGTCCCTCTCAGCTAGATCAGTTTGTTGATAGTGCAGTGGATTCACTGAGAGTTACTCTGGATTCGATTGCTCCCCTAAAACAGCAGAGACTAGCTCCATGGTTCAACTCAGAAACCCGTACTCTAAAACAATCGTCCCAGAATTTTGAAAGAATATGGCGCTCGACCAAAACGGTAGAATCTTGTTTATTCTGGCAGGATAGTCATAGAAGATATATGAAGGCTCTACGTCACGCTCGAGCTGCCTACTACTCCTCTCTAATCGAGGAAAACAAAGGCAATCCTAGATACCTTTTCAGCACTGTAGCCAGGCTGACAGAGAGTCATGGCTCCATTGAGCCTTGTATTCCTTTAGCCCTCAGCAGTAATGATTTCCTGAGCTTTTTCAACAACAAAATTCTAGACATCAGAGACAAAATTAGTAACCTCCTGCCCTTACCTGGTGCAGATATGTTTGATACGACAGAGACAGTTCCAGGACCAGTTATTAGTCTCAACTGTTTTTCTCCTATCGACCTTTCAGAGCTATATTCCATTTTTTCTGTGTCGAAACCGTCAACCTGTCTTTTAGACCCAATCCCAACCAAGCTGTTTAAGGAAGTCTTTCCTTTAGTTAGCAACTCTATATTAGATATGATCAATTCGTCTTTACTGGCAGGCTATGTACCACAGGCATTTAAAGTAGCAGTAATCAAACCTCTACTTAAAAAACCTACTCTATTCAGGAACTCTGGCTAACTATAGGCCTATATCCAACCTTCCTTTTATCTCAAAGATCCTGGAGAAGGTGGTAGCTAATCAGCTGTGTGACTTTCTCCATGACAACAGTTTATTTGAGGAGTTTCAGTCAGGATTTAGAGTCCACCAAGACACTGAGACTGCACTAGTTAAAGTTACAAATGATCTACTTCTAGCTTCAGACAGGGGACTTCTCTCTGTGCTCGTCTTGTTAGATCTTAGTGCTGCTTTTGACACCATTGACCATCAGATCCTGTTGTACAGACTAGAACATTTACTTGGAATTACAGGGACTGCTTTAAGTTGGTTTGAATCCTACTCATCAGACCGATCTCAGTTTGTACATGTTAATAATGAGTCCTCTATGCACACAAACGTTTGCCATGGAGTCCCACAAGGTTCAGTGCTTGGACCAATTCTCTTTACATTATATATGCTTCCTCTGGGAAATATTATGAGGAAACACTCCATACAGTTTCATTGTTATGCAGATGATACTCAGCTCTATGTATCAATGAAGTCCCTTTTCCTAACCAGGAAAAGGGACCACATCACTCCTGTCTTGGCTTCTCTGCACTGGCTCCCTATACAGTCTAGAATAGAATTCAAGATCCTTCTTCTCACCTACAAAGCTCTAAATGGCCAGGCACCATCTTATCTTAAGGAGCTACTAGTGCCGTATTGTCCCTCGAGAGCGTTGCGGTCCCGGAGTGCAGGCCTGCTGGTGGTACCTACAGTCTCTAAGTGTACTATGGGAGGTAAAGCCTTCAGTTATCGGGCTCCTCTCCTCTGGAACCGCCTTCCAGCTGGGGTCCGGGAAGCAGACACAGTCTGTATTTTTAAGAATAGACTTAAAATATTCCTATTTGATAATTCTTATAGTTAGGGCCGGTGCTGGTGTAGACCAGCTCTTACTTATGCTGCTATAGGCTTAGACTACCGGGGGAACTGGCACCTTGAGCTCCTCTCTCTCTCTCTCTCTCTCTCTCTCTCTCTCTCTGTGCATATACAGTACATCATATTACTGCATGTATCTATCTGTAAATCTCAGTCACTAACCACCTACTTTCCTGAGAGCTCTTGAGCTCTCAGGCTCCTCAAGATCGCTGGTTGACGGCCTGCCAGAACATATTGTTGTAACATAACAATGAGTAAAGGTCTTTTACCTGCTCTTTTGTAACATAACAATGAGTAAGGTCTTTTTACCTGCTCTTTTGTAATGTTAACAGACAAAGAGTAAGGTATTTTACCTGCTTTTTGTAAAGTGTCTTGAGATAACACTTGTTATGAGTTGACGCTATACAAATAAAATTGAATTGAATTGAATTGAATTACCACAGCGGTCTCTGATCACCAGGTTTCGTCCTTCCTTAAGGTTGATGGTGAGCAGGAAAGAGCGAGACAGATCCCCACTGTTCTCCGACACACTGGGGGTCTCACTGCCCCCCTCGACCTGCACAAACACACAACAAAACATGATCATGATTTAAGATTCTATCATTCAGCCTGTTTCATCTCATAACGGCGAGACTTTAGGATTCATCTGAAAATCCTGAACAAAACGTGCTCAAGTCCCGTTAGTCCTGGAGCAATGTGAGTGCAGGCCAGGGGGGGAATGGGGGGGGGGGCAATTATGCTTAAGCACGGTACCAACTGGGCCTAGTGTGAGTGTGATCATGTGATCATGTGGTCATGTGGTCATGTGGTCAGTGATCATGTGGTCATGTGGTCATGCGATCATGCGGTCATGTGATCATGTGATCATGTGGTCATGTGATCATGTGGTCAGTGATCATGTGATCAGTGATCATGTGATTATGTGTTCATGTGGTCATGTGATCATGTGGTCAGTGATCATGTGATCATGTGGTCAGTGATCATGTGATCATGTGTTCATGTGATCATGTGGTCAGTGATCATGTGATCACATGATCATGTGGTCATGTGGTCAGTGATCATGTGGTCATGTGGTCAGTGATCATGTGGTCATGTGGTCATGCGATCATGTGGTATGTGATCATGTGGTCATGTGATCATGTGGTCATGTGATCATGTGGTCATGTGGTCAGTGATCATGTGATCATGTGATCATGCGTCATGTGATTATGTGGTCATGTGGTCAGTGATCATGTGGTCATGTGATCATGTGGTCATGTGGTCAGTGATCATGTGATCATGTGATCATGTGATCATGTGGTCAGTGATCATGTGATCATGTGATCATGTGATCATGCGGTCATGTGATTATGGTCATGTGGTCAGTGATCATGTGGTCAGTGATTATGTGATCATGTGATCATGCGATCATGCGGTCATGTGATTATGTGGTCATGTGGTCAGTGATCATGTGGTCATGTGATCATGTGGTCATGTGGTCAGTGATCATGTGGTCATGTGGTCATGTGGTCAGTGATCATGTGATCATGTGATCATGTGATCATGTGGTCATGCGATCATGCGGTCATGTGATTATGTGGTCATGTGGTCAGTGATCATGTGGTCATGTGATCATGTGATCATGTGGTCATCTGATCATGTGGTCAGTGATCATGTGATCATGTGATCATGTGGTCAGTGATCATGTGATTATGTGTTCATGTGATCATGTGATCATGTGTTCATGTGGTCAGTGATCATGTGATCACATGATCATGTGGTCATGTGGTCAGTGATCATGTGGTCATGTGGTCAGTGATCATGTGATCATGTGGTCATGTGGTCATGCGATCATGTGATTATGTGGTCATGTGGTCAGTGATCATGTGGTCATGTGATCATGTGGTCATGTGATCATGTGGTCATGTGGTCAGTGATCATGTGATCATGTAATCATGTGGTCATGTGATCATGTGGTCAGTGATCATGTGTTCATGTGGTCATGTGATCATGTGATCAGTGATCATGTGATCATGTGATCATGGGATCATGTGGTCAGTGATCATGTGATCACATGATCATGTGGTCATGCGATCATGCGGTCATGTGATTATGTGGTCATGTGATCATGTGGTCATGTGGTCAGTGATCATGTGATCATGTGATCATGTGGTCAGTGATCATGTGATCACATGATCATGTGGTCATGCGATCATGCGGTCATGTGATTATGTGGTCATGTGTCATGTGGTCATGTGATCATGTGGTCATGTGGTCAGTGATCATGTGATCATGTGATCATGTGGTCAGTGATCATGTGATCATGTGATCATGTGATCATGCGGTCATGTGATTATGTGGTCATGTGGTCAGTGATCATGTGGTCAGTGATTATGTGATCATGTGATCATGTGGTCATGCGATCATGCGGTCATGTGATTATGTGGTCATGTGGTCAGTGATCATGTGGTCATGTGATCATGTGGTCATGTGGTCAGTGATCATGTGGTCATGTGGTCATGTGGTCAGTGATCATGTGGTCATGTGGTCATGTGGTCAGTGATCATGTGATCATGTGATCATGTGATCATGTGATCATGCGGTCATGTGATTATGTGGTCATGTGGTCAGTGATCATGTGGTCAGTGATCATGTGATCATGTGGTCATGTGGTCATGTGATTATGTGGTCATGTGGTCAGTGATCATGTGGTCATGTGATCATGTGATCATGTGGTCATCTGATCATGTGGTCAGTGATCATGTGATCATGTGATCATGTGGTCAGTGATCATGTGATTATGTGTTCATGTGATCATGTGGTCAGTGATCATGTGATCATGTGGTCAGTGATCATGTGATCATGTGTTCATGTGGTCATGTGGTCAGTGATCATGTGATCACATGATCATGTGATCAGTGATCAGTGATCATGTGATCATGTGATCACTTCCTGTCTCTGCTAGGATTTTTTAATCACTATTAAACCTCTCGACCAATCAGAGCATCAAAACACACATTAATACACATATCAACACATAAACATCAACACACACAAACACACTCAATAATCTGGGTTTAAACTTTGACACGAGTGTGTTGTTTGACTCTCCAGTGCAGAGAGTCAAACAACACATGACGTCATCAAACCACAATCACACAATAAATGAGATACACACAACCAAAACACACACACAAACACACACACACACACACACACACACACACACACACACACACACACACACACACACACACACACACACACACACACACACACACACACACACACACACACACACACACACACACACACACACACACTGTGTATGGAGCAGTTCTCACTTGTTGGATGTCGGCGGCGTTCAGATCTTCGTTCTGCAGAGACAAAAGGAAACTGTGTGACGTCATGTTGTTTAAGGTCAAAGGTCAGCTCAGCTTCTCTCAAACTGGACCGTGAGGTGAGCAGGACGCCGTGTGGACTCGACCTGCAGGTTAAACTCCTCCTGACAGTTTAGTAAACAAAGCGTCCTCCCCTCAGGCCGCCGTGTCCATGTGACCTTGCAGAGGTGTGACTCTTTATCTGTTGATTCAGGAAGCTTTGAAAAGTCCTCCAAGGTAAACTTTGTGATGCTACACACCCACTACTACACACACACACCCACTACTGTACACACACACACACACACACACACAACTGCACACACACACACAACAACACACACACACACACACACACACACACACACACACACACACACACACACACACACACACACACACTACTGTACACACACACACACACTACTGTACACACACACACACACTACTACACACACACACCCACTACTGTACACACACACACACACACACACACACAACTGTACACACACACACACACACACACACACACACACACACACACTACTACACACACACACACACACACACACACTACTGTACACACACACACTACTACACACACACACCCACTACTGTACACACACACGCACACTACTGTACACACACACGCACACACACACACTACTACACACACACACCCACTACTGTACACACACACTACTGTACACACACACACACACAAATACACACACACACACACACACACACACACACACACACACACTAAGCCCCTTTACATTAAAGTCAGGACGATGGTTTAGAAGAAGAACATTTCATGTTAGTCGAGTGTTTGCTCCGATCAGTCAGAGCATCACAGGTTGAAGTGTTGTTGTCATGACGACCCTGAACTGTAAGAGCTGTGTGGTCCTCACCTGTGAGTTGTCCTTTGAGACCCCCGCTGACGGAGGGTCCGGGCTGTAGACGGTCATCATCTCGGGCAGGCCCAGCTCCTCAGGCTCCATGTCCCGGGACGCTCTGCAGGTAGACTCACTCCTCTCCTCCTCAGAGACAAATGACTCCTGAGAGGAAGCCCAGTCTGTGCAGTCTCTACCCCCTCCCTCCTCAGGCCACTCCCCCCTCCTCTACCCCCTCCCTCCTCAGGCCACTCCCCCCCCCTCCGCCTCCTCCCGGGCTCCTGGCGGGCTTGATGACAGGTGAAGACGGGCTGCTGTAGCTTGGAGAGTTGTACGGTTGGAGCTGCGTCCTGGAGGACATGTGAGCGTCCTCCTGCCTCATGTTCCTGATGTCGGGGACTGACGAGCTCATCCTGGGCTCCAGCTGAACCGCCAACTTGTCTCGCCGAAGGTGTGGCATCATCCTCTGCCGCAGATTCCGCAGCACGCCCGGCTTTTTTGAGTCCATGATGGGGGTAGGTTAGAGTCTAAGACGTGGACATCACTGACAGCTGCAGTAGACACACAGAGACAGAGACATTATTCTCCCTCAGTGTTTGTATAGTGAAGTCCAGTTAACTGTCGCCCTGAGGAGCTCTCTGCAGACTCTGAAAGTCCAGCAGTTTGATCTCACTAACACATCAGCTCTCTGCAGACTCTCAAAGTCCAGCAGTTTGATCTCACTAACACATCAGCTCTCTGCAGACTCTCAAAGTCCAGCAGTTGATCTCACTAACACATCAGCTCTCTGCAGACTCTCAAAGTCCAGCAGTTTGATCTCACTAACACATCAGCTCTCTGCAGACTCTGAAAGTCCAGCAGTTTGATCTCACTAACACATCAGCTCTCTGCAGACTCTCAAAGTCCAGCAGTTTGATCTCACTAACACATCAGCTCTCTGCAGACTCTCAAAGTCCAGCAGTCTGATCTCACTAACACATCAGCTCTCTGCAGACTCTGAAAGTCCAGCAGTTTGATCTCACTAACACATCAGCTCTCTGCAGACTCTCAAAGTCCAGCAGTCTGATCTCACTAACACATCAGCTCTCTGCAGACTCTGAAAGTCCAGCAGTTTGATCTCACTAACACATCAGCTCTCTGCAGACTCTCAAAGTCCAGCAGTCTGATCTCACTAACACATCAGCTCTCTGCAGACTGATACGAACTGTAAAGTCTTTCTATCTCTCTGATCTCATGTTAGGGTTAGGTACATTAACCAGCCCGACCTGACACACACTTTGTTTTGGTTTATTTTGATAAGACATTTAAATCCACCATGAAGTCAGCAGCCATGTGATGAGTGATTGTTATTTTACTTTAATATGATTGGCTGAGTCATCCTGCAGTCGTTGTTGTTGCATCAAACAGGATACGAGTTAGCTAACAGCAGGTCGACTGTGACGCGTCATCGCTCTCTGAACAAACAGCACAAAAGCAGATTTTATCAAACACAGCCCGTAAGCCTCTTACTGGCCTTCTTTGTATCGTCATTAACTGCAGCCGCTGACCTGCCGTGTTATCAGCTTGGGGGGGGGGGGTAGCAAGAGCCCATGTTTACAAAACCTGCACACATGATGACAGAAGTGAAGGTCAACCAATGAGAAAAGAGTTTGAGATTTAAGTCAAGGCAGCAGCTGATATCAGAGAACTGTGACGACACACAGCACAGCCGTTTGGAACGCCCCCCGCATCCTCGACTGAGTGACACAATGTTCAAAGTCTACTGCATTAAGTCAGATATGTATGTATGTCCTGTCTCCTCTCCTCATGTCAGATATGTATGTCCCAGATCCAGAACCCAGATCCAGACACTCTCTCCTGACCCAAATACAGGGATTAGATCGAGGAGCGAGGGAGCAGGAGGGAAGGAAACGACCACTGAGAGCACGGCCATCTGTTAAACTGCTCATATATGTAACCCTCCTCTCCTGTCTCCTATTATGTCTCCTCTCCTCTCATGTCTCCACTCATGTCTCCTCTCTCCTCTCATGTCTCCTCTCCTCATGTCTCTCCTCTCATGTCTCCTCTAACCCTAAGATACCAGGTGAACTTGTCCTCTGTTCTTCCATCACATGGATTTGTTCACCACTCTCCTTACTGGTTTAAAAGCAGACGTTTGGTCAACCAGGTTTCAGACAGACAACAACATCTGGTCAACCAGGTTTCAGACAACATCTGGTCGACCAGGTTTCAGACAACAACATCTGGTCAACCAGGTTTCAAACAACAACATCTGGTCAACCAGGTTTCAGACAGACAACAACATCTGGTCGACCAGGTTTCAAACAACAACATCTGGTCGACCAGGTTTCAGACAGACAACAACATCTGGTCGACCAGGTTTCAGACAACAACATCTGGTCGACCAGGTTTCAAACAACAACATCTGGTCAACCAGGTTTCAAACAACAACATCTGGTCGACCAGGTTTCAGACAACAACATCTGGTCAACCAGGTTTCAGACAACAACATCTGGTCAACCAGGTTTCAGACAGACAACAACATCTGGTCGACCAGGTTTCAGACAGACAACAACATCTGGTCGACCAGGTTTCAGACAGACAACAACATCTGGTCGACCAGGTTTCAGACAACAACATCTGGTCGACCAGGTTTCAGACAACAACATCTGGTCGACCAGGTTTCAGACAGACAACAACATCTGGTCGACCAGGTTTCAGACAGACAACAACATCTGGTCGACCAGGTTTCAGACAACAACATCTGGTCGACCAGGTTTCAGACAACAACATCTGGTCGACCAGGATTCAGACAACAACATCTGGTCGACCAGGATTCAGACAACAACATCTGGTCGACCAGGTTTCAGACAACAACATCTGGTCGACCAGGTTTCAGACAACAACATCTGGTCGACCAGGATTCAGACAACAACATCTGGTCGACCAGGTTTCAGACAACAACATCTGGTCGACCAGGTTTCAGACAACAACATCTGGTCGACCAGGTTTCAGACAACAACATCTGGTCAACCAGGTTTCAGACAACAACATCTGGTCAACCAGGTTTCAGACAACAACATCTGGTCAACCAGGTTTCAGACAACAACATCTGGTCAACCAGGTTTCAGACAGACAACAACATCTGGTCGACCAGGTTTCAGACAGACAACAACATCTGGTCGACCAGGTTTCAGACAACAACATCTGGTCGACCAGGTTTCAGACAACAACATCTGGTCGACCAGGTTTCAGACAGACAACAACATCTGGTCGACCAGGTTTCAGACAGACAACAACATCTGGTCGACCAGGTTTCAGACAGACAACAACATCTGGTCGACCAGGTTTCAGACAGACAACAACATCTGGTCGACCAGGTTTCAGACAACAACATCTGGTCGACCAGGATTCAGACAACAACATCTGGTCGACCAGGTTTCAGACAACAACATCTGGTCGACCAGGATTCAGACAACAACATCTGGTCGACCAGGTTTCAGACAACAACATCTGGTCGACCAGGTTTCAGACAACAACATCTGGTCGACCAGGTTTCAGACAGACAACAACATCTGGTCGACCAGGATTCAGACAACAACATCTGGTCGACCAGGTTTCAAACAACAACATCTGGTCAACCAGGTTTCAAACAACAACATCTGGTCAACCAGGTTTCAGACAACAACATCTGGTCAACCAGGTTTCAGACAGACAACAACATCTGGTCAACCAGGTTTCAAACAACAACTTCTGGTCGACCAGGTTTCAGACAACAACATCTGGTCAACCAGGTTTCAAACAACAACATCTGGTCGACCAGGTTTCAGACAGACAACAACATCTGGTCAACCAGGTTTCAGACAGACAACAACATCTGGTCAACCAGGTTTCAGACAACAACATCTGGTCAACCAGGTTTCAGACAGACAACAACATCTGGTCGACCAGGTTTCAGACAGACAACAACATCTGGTCGACCAGGTTTCAGACAGACAACAACATCTGGTCGACCAGGTTTCAGACAACAACATCTGGTCGACCAGGTTTCAGACAGACAACAACATCTGGTCGACCAGGTTTCAGACAACAACATCTGGTCGACCAGGATTCAGACAACAACATCTGGTCGACCAGGTTTCAGACAACAACATCTGGTCGACCAGGATTCAGACAACAACATCTGGTCGACCAGGTTTCAGACAACAACATCTGGTCGACCAGGTTTCAGACAGACAACAACATCTGGTCGACCAGGATTCAGACAACAACATCTGGTCGACCAGGTTTCAAACAACAACATCTGGTCAACCAGGTTTCAAACAACAACATCTGGTCAACCAGGTTTCAGACAACAACATCTGGTCAACCAGGTTTCAGACAGACAACAACATCTGGTCAACCAGGTTTCAAACAACAACTTCTGGTCGACCAGGTTTCAGACAACAACATCTGGTCAACCAGGTTTCAAACAACAACATCTGGTCGACCAGGTTTCAGACAGACAACAACATCTGGTCAACCAGGTTTCAGACAGACAACAACATCTGGTCAACCAGGTTTCAGACAGACAACAACATCTGGTCGACCAGGTTTCAGACAGACAACAACATCTGGTCGACCAGGTTTCAAACAACAACATCTGGTCGACCAGGTTTCAGACAGACAACAACATCTGGTCGACCAGGTTTCAGACAACAACATCTGGTCGACCAGGTTTCAAACAACAACATCTGGTCAACCAGGTTTCAAACAACAACATCTGGTCGACCAGGTTTCAGACAACAACATCTGGTCAACCAGGTTTCAGACAACAACATCTGGTCAACCAGGTTTCAGACAGACAACAACATCTGGTCGACCAGGTTTCAGACAGACAACAACATCTGGTCGACCAGGTTTCAGACAGACAACAACATCTGGTCGACCAGGTTTCAGACAACAACATCTGGTCGACCAGGTTTCAGACAACAACATCTGGTCGACCAGGTTTCAGACAGACAACAACATCTGGTCGACCAGGTTTCAGACAGACAACAACATCTGGTCGACCAGGTTTCAGACAGACAACAACATCTGGTCGACCAGGTTTCAGACAACAACATCTGGTCGACCAGGTTTCAGACAACAACATCTGGTCGACCAGGATTCAGACAACAACATCTGGTCGACCAGGATTCAGACAACAACATCTGGTCGACCAGGTTTCAGACAACAACATCTGGTCGACCAGGTTTCAGACAACAACATCTGGTCGACCAGGATTCAGACAACAACATCTGGTCGACCAGGTTTCAGACAACAACATCTGGTCGACCAGGTTTCAGACAACAACATCTGGTCGACCAGGTTTCAAACAACAACATCTGGTCAACCAGGTTTCAGACAACAACATCTGGTCAACCAGGTTTCAGACAACAACATCTG